CAGTCAGAACCCCCCGGATCAGAACACCTGTTTGTGAGCAGTTGTGAACATGCGTGTATATACAAGATTTCTCCAATGGAATATTTAATCAGCATGTGTTCTAAAATTATACTTATAAATCATCAGTCAAACTAACTTCTTCGTTTTTAATATAATCTCCTTCCAGCTCTAACTACAGGTTGACTGAGAGCATCGTAGATTCTCAGCTGAGTAGAAATGTTTCTGTCGGTGGAAGAGTTTGTTGTAGCCGACATTGTGGCCTCGCAATCCARTTTATGAAGGCCTTTCAGGTGATCCATGCCACCGTCCACCATGGTTATTTTGTTATGGGCTGACATGCACACTTACAGGGGATGGTTAGATCATGCAACACTAATCACAGGAATCACAAAGTAAAATATTAATCTGTGACAGTTTTTCTGACGATGAATCAAACTCGATAAGATTTTGCACAAGCCTAATGTTTGATTAGTTGGCCACGCTCTTTTTTTGTCCCTGTGATGGACATTATGATCTGTCCATGGTGTCCCCCACATCTCTCAAAATGACCACTGCAGATGGGACCCCCATGACCTAGCAGGAACAGGGTGTAAAGAAAATGGATTGTTAGATCTTTAACCCTGGTCCTCATGACCCACTGCCCTGCATGTTTTAGTTGTTTTCCCTGCTTCAACACACCTGACAGACATTTATGAGTTATTGACAGGCTTCTGCTAAACTTGATGACATCCTGAGTAGGTAATTAATTATTTAAATGAAAGGGAAACAAGTAAAACATGCAGGACAGTTGGACCTCAGCTTCAGGGGAAGACAAACTGGAGGTCTTAAAGCCACTGAAACATTTTGAAATTTCAGAGTGGTGTAAACAAACTCTAAACTGGTGAGTTAGGACTGAGATTAAAGTTCTTTAAAGGCTTTAAATAGGGCAAGACAGCTGAGGTGGTAAGCAGAGTTGTAAAGTAACAAAAGTACAAACACTTCTTTACTGTACTCAAGTAGAAATTTTGGTTATCCATACTTGAGTAATTATTTTTCAGCCTACTTTTTACTTCTAGGCCTACTCCTTACATTTTTTTAAAGGCAAGAAGTAGAAAGCCATTATTACCTCCGCCAAGGGCGAGGACGTAATGTTTTCAGTCGAGTCTGTCTGTCGTTCTGTCTGTGGACGGATTATCATGACATTTTTACCACATGTGGGTACTGGGCCAAGGAACACACCTTTAAATTTTGGTGATGTTCCGGATCACGATGCGGATACAGGATATTTTTTTCTTTTAACACTCTGAGATCGGCAAAGCTGTGACGCTTTGCATATAGACACTTAGGGTTTTGGGTTAGAGTAGTGGTGGAGGGGAAACTGGCACCACGCCGGCCTCTGCCTCTTC